ATGTAATTAAATATTATATTTATATTTTATTATTTATGTAATATGTATAATAATAAAATAATATAATATTTTTAAAATTATATTAAATAAGCGAATATATTTTTTATTCAAATAAATATTTATTTATTTATCTATCAACTTGTATTCTTGATTTATAATGCATTGATCATCATATTCTTGGTGAACGTTCATCCGACTATCAAGTATCCACCGTAATCGCCAGTACAGCGAATGGCGAATACAGACCGGACACCTGACTATACGTAGTTCCGATATGTTGGACACAGGAAGAGGAAGTCAACCACACGAGCACGATGCATCCACTACCACCACCGTTATTGCATGTCGGCAAGATGGGAGCAGGGATCGTGTTTTCGGGTTCATTCTTTTAAAATTTGTCATCGATATATAGGGTGTCTCGTCCATTTCATTTTTATTAATATAAAGTTGATGGTTTTCTCAAAGTTAAGAATTTGTCTAAAAACCAATAGTTTTAGTGGACATTTTTAACTCTATTCAAACTTTAATAACATTTATTTTTAATAAAGATGCATTTAACAAATAAAAATATATAATAGAAAAAGTTTAAAACTTTGATTTTTAAAAGTACGAATAAGTATAGCTGAAGAAAAGAGACAGGAAATAATTGGAAAATATAGATTCTCGATTTTTGGTTTTGACGAAAACATTAATGAGAAAGGGAGAGCGAGTTACGTATACAAATAGATGAATCCAAGAAGACGCACTGTATAGAAAGTAAGTATTGACTTACACTTTCAACCGATTGGACTATACGGCATTTAGACAGGGTCTCGTAGAAAATTGTTCCCTTTCTTGCAGGATACGTTATTTCGGAGAATTGTGATGATTTAACTATAATTAATTGATCGATATAATATACTAGTTTGAATTAAAATCAAGTATTAAAATAAAATAAAATATTCTACAATTTTTTAAATTATGGAATTTGTAAAAACGAAAAAATACCATATAAAAATATATATACTGAAGTATTTTATTCTCAATTATACATTAAATCATAAATTAGAAAGAATTAAATATTAAAATTAAGATAAAAATAAAAGATTCAAATTAGAATTAAGATTTGGATTAAAATAAAAGTAGAAAATGAATTATAAAAAGTGAAATAAAATAATATAAAATTGAATGATAAAATCCGTAAAATAAATGAAGGAGTAATAAAAATCCTCCGAGGCCGTCATTTCTACATGATTTCACACGAATCTCTTTGACTAGATAATTGCCAGTTTTATTTACCGAATTCTATCTAATATGTATATACATATAAAAGTTTTATTGAAACACTTTATTGAAATGAGAGTTTGCGGGTTTCCTTCTGGCTATTCAGTCGCCCTTTTCGCCCTCTCTCACCCCATTATTTGAGTCGCGAATCCGTAGAATACTGGTACAGTGGATGGAGTCGACGGCAGGTACGACGTGGGCCGCGTTTTGGCGCACCTGTGTTTACTCTCGCGACCGAAATCAAAGAGAGACGATTAAGTACCATTACAAATCATGCAAACATGATTCAATCGCTCTCCCTGCCTATCTTTTCGCGATAACCACGTGCGCGTGTAAGGATCTAAAGCAGACATGTGTCAAACACGCGGCCCGCTGACTTGAAAATCTTTTGGGAAGATAGGTCTTTCAAAAATCGCATTTTCTTCAGCTCCTGAATATCATTGAAAACATGTGCAAATAAATCATTTATAATTCTCCTATTTCGAAATTTATTAAAATTAAATACGATTATTAAAAAAAAATATAAAAAATATAAAAATGGGAAAAAAATATAAAAAAATACAGTAAAAATAAAATAGCGAGAATATCGACCGATATACATATATATGTATATGCGTGAAAAATAATATATCTCGAGTTTTTGAATTTGGGAAAAGGATTAACGAGGAAGAAACGCATCGCGCGGCGCATCTGCCTGCGAGGAGCCGGCTAAGAAAATAAGGCGGGAATCGTCGTCAAGATGATTATACAACGTAACGTAGAACGCCGTAACCGTTTCCCCGGGATTAGGATACGTCCAGCTCCCCTGATCCTATCGTGGACGTACGGTTCGTTCGAATAGCCGATTGAATTACACGCAGCGCGTGCCAGCCGGCCGCACGCCGGCTTGTATATACGGTTCGGCATCCAGGGATGATAACCCAAGTACCTAATAAAGCCACAATTCTATCTCATTGAGATTCGAAAAAGCGATAGAGAGATCTTCAGCGATTGAGAATTGGGACCAGAACCTATATTTATTCGAAAGTTCACACGCTTATACTTTTTTTTACCCAGCTAAATTTAAAATGATATATAATGACAGCCTAGATAGCACAGCTATTCGAAAAGAATTCATTTGAATGTCACCTTGTATGTCACCAATTTCGAGTCCCTTTTCAAATATATATAGAATTCATTTTGTAAAATAAATTCTTTTCGAATAGCTTGTGCTATCTGGGAGCGTGATGACGTCACTTAAATTCATTTTGGAAAAAATTTTTATATATTGCATTTATTTATTTATTCTATTGTTTACGCGTATAAATTATTTGAAATAAAGCGATCTTGTATTAGGGAGCTTTAAATCTATGATTCCTTTTGTCATCTAAAATCGTGATGAATCATTACGAGTTTCATATTCTACCTAGATTCTTTTAAAGAATCGTAGCATACTAAACTCCAAATACAATATTACAAATTATTATAAGACTTTCCGATAAATTAAATTTAATATAAATTCTCGAATATAATAATTCAAATTTCAGAGTTATTTTATTATAGTACTGAAAAGGATAAAATATTACACAAAAAACAAAAAAAAAACACAGGTACGTGAATAAAGAAATATGGATGTTATACATTTTATTCGATGAAATATTTGTAATCGATTCCCACGCACACAGTATATTTCAAAAAGTGTATATAAATCTAACACACGGACAAAAGTATAATATTTCTTCGTGTCGGAGAATAATGGACGCGATGCAGAGAGAGAGAGAGAAGAGAGAGAGAAGGTGGGTGGGTGTGTTTCTGTTGTGTATTCCGCAGACTTAATTAAGTAACCGTGATGAAAACGTTTATCGAAACCGCGCGGCGGATAATCCGCAATCGCTTCGCCGACAGATAGCCTGCTATCTTGTCAGATTGGATCTTTAATCATGAACGATTACTGACCGCCTTTACTGTCATCTCCCGATGCGGTCTAATCACTCAATTGTGAATGGCCGCGGTCGCTGATTTATGCAAGGCTGTTTTAGCCAAGTGTTCCAATTTTATCAATTGTTATATTTGGTTTAAAGGCTTGTTTTTAACAGATTTCGATTAAAGTAAAATAACTTTTTTTATTTAAGTAAAATATCTATTAAAACAGTCCAATATTTTTCATAATTTGAACATGTAAAATATATCTTTCTTTGAAATGGTAGAAAGAATATTATATTTACATTAATAATTGAGAAATTAATTAAAGTTTATTATTGTATATGTTTGAGTATTGCTCTCTGTCAAAAATTTGTTACTAAATATTATCAAACTGAGATTTCATAGTATATAAGTGTGTTACATCTATATTTTTTCAAACTGCTATCGAATTTTATACTCCTAAAAACTCTCAAAACATGAACACATATATCATATTATGCAGATATTTGATTAAAAAGTGTCGCGAATAAATTAATATAATCACTATAAAATTGAAGAATAAAATGAAAGCTATATGGACCAGTTCAGTAATAATTTTGGATGTATAATTTTTTTGAATATGGAGTCGATGAGACGATTGAAAATGTGAATAAAAATATATCGTTTAATAAAGATATCTCTTCGGCAACGAATTTCTGAATAGAATGATCCATCAGTCAGCAGGATGATTCTATATCCGGTATCGATTGCCGAAAATTGCATTGGAGGTATTACAGCTCGAATGAGAGGAGAGGAACGTACAACAAACCCCCCAAGATGGCTGCTACGGCTCGCGAGAGCTGGCGCATATCGACGTTTGGCGTTTGCGGGGTTTCCCGTAGGTAAGCTCATCGGAATTGCGGGTCTTCCCACCCTACCGCTTTGCCGCCACCTCGCGTCATCACCCTCGTCGTCGCGTCGTCCGTCGTCTTCTCACCCTGTGACCATATCTTCAAAAACAAGAAACACATGTAATTGAATTTTCCCCGAACGTAAATTAATACGTGAACCTTTGTCGAAATTGCGGTCGCAGCTGCACCTGCATCGTCGACAAAAGCTAATTCTTCTCAAAAGCTTTATCCGAGATGAAGAAAGAACCTTCGTGCGCGCAGATATATATATATATATATATACTCTTCTTCATTTATTCTCTTTGAATTTTCATTATGAATATTGCCAGAGAGGCAAGATTCATTTTTAATCAGTCGTAACTAATAGATTAGGAATTTTATACAATGCTTATATTATTCTTCATTGTTTTATAATATTATATTGCATCGAATTCTGTAGTTTACGTTATATATCATTTATATTATCATACTAAAAGTTAAACAATTGTATTGTAAACCTGATCAATATTTACGATACTTTTGATAAAACAAGATTTTTGCACTATATATATTATAGCATAAATACAAACAAAATTTTTAATGTTTAAAGATATATATATATATATATATATATATATATATATATATATATAGTTATATTGTAGGAACAAAAACAGAAAATATAAAATTTTATTACTGCATATAGTTATAACGATACGTGCAACCAATTAATATTTTAATTTGAAAATCAAAGACAATCTATTTATCAAAATTATTTATTAAAATCGATAACAGGAAACTGGAAAAATGAAAGGACAATGGAAGCGTGTAGAACAAGAAAGATATATAAGAAAAGTTTACAGTATTTTATTGTTTATAACACATTAATAAATTTTTTCTTAATAAATAATATTATTATCTGAAACACTATAAAAATCGGCAATAAAATAAATTGTAAGAGTCCTAACAGAAAATATATTGTAATAAATTCAGTAAATGTTTTTTTTTTCGAAAAATAGTCATTTTGCATTATTATATCTGTATGAATTTTACTTAATTATCACATCACAATTACCTGAAATGTAATTGTAGATCGGAGAACAATCTATATAAGCAGTCATATATTGATAAATTTTTCTTTTGCGCGATTTTGTGATATACATTTTTTAAGTTTTCTTTATTTAAAAATATGTAGTGTCCACGCGTGATTATTCTAACAATAGGAAAAATAGTTTTCGCAGCGTATAATCTTAATATATATATACATTCATATAATGCATATCACACCATAATAATTTATCTACGATGTTTTTCATATCTTTTTTAATAGTCTATATACGATATTTAATATACGAAATAGATATGAGATATAAAATGAATACGGACATAATACGGAATACATATCTCGTTTCATGTTTTATATCCATATATATATAACCTTCATTTTATTTGTAACACAAAATTCTATAGATTATATAGTTTTCAACTAATTCCCACGTAGGTATTTTCAGGATGTATATCACGCAACTCCTGAAAAAAATAAAATGTTAAAAATTATTATAAAAATTATACATCAAAATTATTTACATGTAACTGTAATTATAAAAAATCTTGATATTAAATCAAGAAAAAATTTTTTTATATTAAAATATATAAAATTTTTAATAAATTCTCTGTATTAAAAAGTTGCGATTTGAGAAAAATTTTAAACTGTTAAAAATTAGAGAATAAAGATTATACATATAATTCTGACTACATGTCTTTAAAAATGCAAATTTATGATGCTTTAAGAAAGAATAAATTATTTTTTCACATATATAAAGCACGCAAGGTAAACATACATGTAGCATTTGATAGTGGTTGGTTTTCGTCTCTTTCGTTCCGTTTCTTTCTTATTCGCTTCCCGATTTGGCGACATCGATAATGCAGCATCTAAATCCAATGGTCCAAAAGTCCATCCGCCTTCTCCGTCAAATCTCAGCAACAACTTGTGATACTTGGCGAGCGACGCCACTCGATGAGTGATGGTCAACAAGGTAATTCCCTTCCTCTTCGCAGTTTCGTACATTATTCCTTCAGCTTCGAGGCTGACGGCACTCGTGCATTCATCTAATAAAGCGTACTGTGGAGCATGATACAAGAGTCGTGTCATCGCGAGCCGCTGTTTCTCGCCACCCGATAGAGTGGAATCCCAATCGCCAAGAGTATCAAAACCTTCCGGTTCCCTGTCCACGATACTTCGCAAGTCCACATCATCTAACAGTCGCAACAGCTCTTCATCCGAACAATTTTCCGATCTGCGACATACGCACAATTCTCAGATTAGTATTCACAAAAATTAAAATATATACATATACATATATATAAAACATATATATAAAATGCAATATAAATAACATTTGCACATAATTTGATTGATCATATAATACTGCTACTTATGCAATTTATACTGCTTTGGAATAAGAATTTAAATCTTTTTATTTTTACAATTTTAATATTTAATTAAATATATGTATGAAAACCTGGATGAAGAATGTGCCGGATAAATAATCTGATCTCGAAGGCAACCAACAGTCATGTAGGGTTTCTGTGGGATGTAAATAAGGCAGGCCTGCTGTGTTCAGACGAGTTTCTTTCATTTGGTCTAATAAGGGTTCCATCATAGACGGGCCAAAGACCGGAGATGATGCGGAAAAGGGAACTCTTGCCACAGCCATTGGGTCCAGTGATCAAAAGGTGGTCACCTGGCTTTATCTGTAAATCGTAATGATAAAGAAATGAATAAATGTAATAAAAATGGTATAAATTAAACATAACAAAAATGCAAATAAATAGAGATAATAATGATAATAGTCATATCATGTTATATAAAAATATAATACTAAAAAAAGAAGAGCAAATACACATATTACAATGCATTATATAAATAAATATTTTTTTCTTGAAATTTTCAATACTAACAACATAATAAGGTTTTGTGACTTTGAAATATACATGCATCTATATATATACTGATTACTTACGTTAACTGTTAAGCTAGGTACGATAACTTCGCAATTAGGCGTGACTATCGGCACGTTGATTAAGCTTATACTGCCGTCCATGCTTTCACGGACAAGTCCTAATAAACGTACAATAAAATTATATAATATAATCAAAATTATGTATTTTAAATAAATTAAAAATTAAATTAAACATTATAATAATTATTAAATTGCATTATTAAATTATTAAAACAGATATAAGAAAATAAATAATTGCACATTTATATGAAACTATCTTATAAAGACCTTTATCAATATTTAATTTTTAATATATACATATATTCAAACAGCTAAACTTGCATGTGTTATTTTTAAAAACACTTTTAACGATATAAATTAAATTAAAAATTATAATAAAATTAAAAATTTTTAATCAAATTTTGTTGCAATCTGAATCTACTTAAATTATTGGATTTACCTTTAATTATTGGGGTGCCATTATCGAATTCGATTATTTTCTCTACAAGTAGTTGAGCGTTGCCATTCGAAAGAGATCTCGAGGGGCTACTGGTGACAACGTTTCTCTTATATTTGCAGAGTGCAGAGTCTTTAAAAACGTCTAACATTTCGCTGACGCGTGCCGCGTATCCCGCCAGTGCGACTAATTCCTGTATTAATAGAAAGAAGAATTTTAAAGAATTATGTAACTATAATTCTATGAATTATTCTCTTAGACATACGTTTAAAATGGTATTTAACACCTTGATGTGTTTATTTTCTTATTTTTTAAAACGCACACAAAACAGATTTAAACAAATCAACGTAAAATGCGTACTTTATAAGACGACATCAGTCGTTCGACAGCATCCGCTCCGGAGCTCAAGAGATTTTTCGAAGTGGTCAAATACCTCGTTCGCTCACTCACGCCACCTGATTAATAAATTAATTAATGTTATCAATATTTCTTTTTATATTTATTTTTCTAATTCATTTTTATATTTATGGTCATATAAAAAATATTTTGTTTGTTTTGTACAGTGTATATATATTACAGTACAGTAGAGTCTCCTTTGATTTGATACGTCGTTAATTTTGATACTCCTCATAATGTACTTTCACAAACACTAATATCGCATCCCCTCTACATCATAATAGAAAGATCACGTGATGCCACGCACAGACGGGTTTCACATGCGTAATTGTCTTTGCGCAAGTGCACGGCGATCGGACAGCTCGCATTATGAGAAAAAAATATCTGTCAATTCTCTGTCCAACTATTTTTGTTCCTATCACCTTCGAATTAAAATTAATGAGACTCTATTGCACGAAATATACAACATATATGTATAGAAAAAAATTGTATATAAAATGTATACGTATTTAAATATGTAAAATTGAAATTTATTAATGTAATTTATGAATGACCACTTTTTTCAGATGAGATGTTCTATTGAAACATTGCGTTATCGTATACGCACCATCGCCATCCGTGTTAACCACGCTTTTCGATGCCGTGGCCGTGTTGTAGAGCAACGGCATAGCAATAACGAAGAGTCCGGTGCCGGACCATACGTACTTCATGAGGAACTGCTCCAACATCACATACCATAGCTTGACAGCGAGAATACGCTGCAAGTGCGACACCAGAGACTTGTAAGCAGAGTTCAGATAACGATGTTCAGTGTCGTGTCCCCCATAAAATGCAATCTCTTCTGCATGGGCACTGATACGAGCATGAGCTTCTCTCAATTTGCCACGTCGCGTTGCTTCCTCGGCAACTAGTTGGCCGAACTTTGGTGAGGCGAGACGCAAAACTTGTCCGGTTAAACCAATAACCGCTACCGCTAGTAGTGGTCCTATAGATAATAAAACGACAGTATATAATAATAATAATACGGAATAGGAGAAAATGTTTTTTTTCTAGATCAACTTGTGAGTAAATTGGAATTTTCCTTTCGCGCTTCTCTCTCATTATGTATTTGCATAACCACATGATTATACATCAAAGACATTTCATTCTGTGTACGAGTCATTACACAATAGACTGTTTTCTTGTTGAAAACCGTTCCCGTTAAAATTTTTGTGTTAAATATTTAACACATTCGTGTGTGAATTTAGCATATTACTTTTTATTTTAAAAAAATGTATAAGTGAGGATGATAAAATCTCAAATTAATATATATAAATTTATTTGAAGTTATTTTGTGTTAAAATATTAACACAGTATTTTTGTCACCATTTGACATATATAATTGACCAAAATTTCTGTGGGTCGTTTGGGATATGTGATATTTGTAAAATTGCAACTGTGTAGCACAGATTGCGGACTAGTCTCGTATGGGAATTCTAGAATGAAGGAATTTAATCGACATTCAACATGATGCAAAAATCTCACCTGGTATCGTTTTCGCGCCCATTTTATGCGAGAATGAGATAAGCGCGATGCCGACTAAAGCACAGTCCAGCAGCGGCTTCGTTAAACTAGAGTACAGGTGAGCTACGGAACTGGCTAGTTCGGACAAGTCATCCGTCAGTCTTTGCTCGGCGCCGCCGAGCCTAGTGTCTAAGGCTGATACTCTATAGTAAGTCTGCTGACTCAGGTACATCTTGTAGGCATGCTTTACCAGACGTTCCCTGTACAAACAATGTAAGAATTAGATTTCATGCCGCAAGGAGACCTTTTCTTTTTTTAGTCTTCAACTTGGAAGAGCCTCTGTTGCTATAAACGGAATGGGAAAACGTCCAAGGAAGAAATTATCGTCATTAAGTAATTATACGTAAACTAACGTATCATCATTTGTAAATAATTGTTAGTTTTTCATACTACATAACATTTATCGCATTAATTTGTTTAGATCGGATGGCATTTCTTTTCCTTTTTATAATTTACGGTTAAAAACATGGAGAAAAATTTAACTTTAAACTCTTCGTGATATTGTATAATAAATGCAAAATAATTGCCATAACTGCAGAAATGTTAAACATTATAATATTAATTGTTAGATTAGATGTATCTACAAAATCTTGGCATAATTTCATCTGATGCAATTCAGTAAACATTGCTTCTTACAAAAGCACAGTTATTAAAAATAGAAGTAATAAATATAGGTTACCTATATAAAACTATGTGTTATTATTCAATGTTATAAGCTACTCAGCTACTGTAATAAGACATTTCGTATTCAAATTAATGTCAGAAGCAGATATAAAACCTGCAAAGCATTAAGCTGCTATTAACATATTACAAATGCAATTTTGCATATTGTATCAGTAAAACTTTCCGATGCACACGGTAAAAAACATTTCGTATTTCTGTTGAAATTATCTTGTGTAGAAATTTTTGTGTTAAAATTTTAACATACTCTTATGTTAATATAACATATTGTCGTTATGTTATTTTGACATTTGTCTGTTGAGTTAATATTCACTATTTTTAAGTGTTAAAACAACACAATTAAATGAAAATGTACGAATTTTTGCTTATATTATATTTTTTGTGTTATTTTTTCACATATTACGTGTGTTATTTAATTACATAATTGTTTTCTGTTAAATTAACATTAAAATTAGAGTGGATAAATTGGGACATGTGAAATGTGTTAAATTTAACACAATTTTTTTTACTGTGCAGTCTTAATAGAGGATTTAGATTAAACTTATTAATTTATTATTGTTTAACAACTAGATAAATAAAACATTATTTATGCTGTATAAGCAAAGTAAGTAGATGTAAAGGCGTAAAATGTAAATATATTCAAAATTTCCATATATAGATAAAATTATTTTTCGAGTTCTATAAGCTAAATAAATTAAATATTTGCATTACATTTTATTATGTATGATTGCAGTTTATTAATTATGTAATTGGAGTAATTCTTTGTAATTATATGTATATGGGACATACTAGATTTATTTAACATTTTTTAATCTGTATTTATTGAAGCTAATGAATGCCTTAACGTCTTACGCCATTGTACCGTTGTGTCATCAGTGGCGGATTTAAAGATCCGCAAACCCCGAGCAGAGATTAATATCAACATTGTTTTCGGCCACGTTATGAAAAGGAGGATTAATTAAAATCAGATTGAAATGTTTGAGCTCTTGCAATCGTATAACTGATATAAATATATCGCGATAATTAGGTCTCTTGGTCCCCCTCTTCTCGTATCAAGATTAATTTCATCACAGAGCCTCTATCTTTTTAGCTATATTTTTTATGTATATCTTGTTTATGTTTTGCCTCTTTTTTCACAAGAATTTCAGAATCTCTCATCTCTTGCTAAACATATACTCACTTCACTGTAAATACAGGAAATACGAAAATAGTATGTAAGATAAAAGGAGTTGAGATAAACAGATTTATATTTTTATTTTTAAGAGATAGAAAGAAGAAATCTGAGAAACAACTCTCTTGGCGATTCATTACGTGTGAGACTTATATATTCTTAGAAATGAAGAAATAAATTCTTTTAAGGAAAAAGACGCTGACTTATAATTGTTCTTAGGAAAATATATTATGATCTTCGCGAAACATTTTTTTTTCATTCGTAATAACATGAGATATTTTTCATTCCTTCTTTCATTTACAAACTTTGTTTGTCTTCTTTTTTCTAAATATAGATCCATTTAATTTTATTACATAATCGCAGAAAGAAACATAAAATGTTACATTTTATTTCTTCCTGGCTCCATTATCTCCTTTTAGCTCTAAACTTAAATCGTAAAAAACATAATAAAACTGGATTTTATATTAAATAAAAAAAAAAAAAAAAAAAAACAGAGAGGCTAAAACAAACCGTTGATCGATTGCGTGCGCAAGAAGCGAGAAGACGGAAGAATGTGAAAGAGCATGCAAAACGCAAAAGGCGCTACTCAGCTCCGTCGTGAAAAAGGATAGGGTCCCCTTCTCCGGAGTCTCGCGCGCGCAAAAGAAGAAAACGTAGAGAAAAGCAGGAGCAGAGGCGCAGGAGCGTACCTAAAGCTAAGCGCCAATCGGCCTTCGAGGTATCTGATGGCGGAATTGACGAAGGTAGCGGGCAGAGCGATGGCGAACCATCGGCCGAGCATCAGGCTGAATCCGCGCACATCTCGCAAAACTATTCTCTTGACGATCTGGCCCTCCAGCTCGGCCACGTAGACCGAGAGGAAGGTCCTGGTCAGCAAGGTGAGCGTGGCGCACGCCAACAAACCCATTTCTCGGCTCCGCCATCCCGGCACCATGATCCGGAGCAGCATGATCAGCTGTCGGAGAAAATCGCGATCCAAGCCGACCGACGATCGGCTCTCGGAATCGTCCTCTCCCGGCCGGTGAGCAATGGTCCCGTTTACGTTGCGCTTCGAACGACCGCGGTCCTTGTTCTTCTCTCGGGAGGCGGAGAATCGCTTGACACGGGCGAGGATGTGCGGCGAGGCTAGCTTGAGGAGGTACAGAGCCGCGGCGGTGCCGGCTACGCCGCGCGTCAGCGTCTCCTGGCGCACGCCGTAGCGCGCGGACGCGCCGTTTATCAACTTGGAGAACACCGACGACATTCTTCGTTAGCTTCCTCGAGTTTCGGGAGTACCGCACGAGTCTTCAGCCGCGCATCTCGCGCCACCGAACAGATCGCGTTGATGACACCGATGGGGACGCATCTACGAGTCACTACGGACCACGTTCACGCGCGACAGCTTCTTTTTCCTTTACTTGCGGACGTACGCCGTTCAGCGAGAGAGCTGTTCACGCGCGCGCGAACAACCGTCTCGGCCGGCCACCAGCTGGCGACTGACTCGCTCAACGCTCAACCGCTCGACTCGCTGACGCGACGCGCTCCCTCTGTGACGTCACTCGCTCCCGCTGACTCGCGCGATATACGCGATCCTATCGCGAACTCTCTCGCGGCCGAGATCCGAGATCCATCCTCTCCCCGACGATTGCCCATTTCCTCGTTCTCTCTCTTTGCACCAGTAAGTTGCAAAATTTTATTCTTCTGTCTAATATATTATTTATACTCGCCGCCGGACAACGATAAATGCGAATGATTCATGAATCGACGTTCTGCATTTATCACGAGACTCTTTATCATCTCTCTTCTAACTAAGAGAAAGATCCAAGTGTGTTGAAGATTTTTCATTGCGTTTCAATCATTTGTGTGTGTGTGTGTGTGTAAAAATATAATGTTCTATGATACATTAAAATTTTTATCCAATTATCATTTTTATGTAACGCACATACAGAATCATGATATACGCGCAAATAAGTATTAAAAAACAGCAATTAACGTTATTGATGATTTAAATAAGCAATATACATTATCATTTAATGCGATCCGTTTTTATCTGTTTTCTGTCCGTTCCTATATTTCCTCAATAATATTTTCATCTAATCGTTATCTACTATTATATTGTATATATAACTAATTTCAATGTATATAAAAAAATTGAAATTTTTCAATCATCGATACAATTATCGATAAAAAGCATATGCTATATATTCTGATATATTCGTTTCTTGCAAATAGATAATAAGTCAATTCTATACTTAATACAATTAATACTCTTTTTAATTACACTTTGTTATATTTACTTCCATTTAAAGTGTGAGAAAAAGCGAACAAAAATTAATGATGTAAATAGAAAGTATAAAACAAGCATTGTTATACTTTCTGCAGATGCAATTGCATTCTTGCATGACGCATTCAGTCGGATATATTCAGTTTTTGTTTAGTCATATCACGCTATTGCAAGGTCAATGCACTGCCCTAATTTGTATATAGTTGACTGCATCCTTTTCCTCTTCTCATCATATTTTACTAGGTTATCGTATAGAGTGTTGCTTTTTGCCGAATCATAATTGCAATATATGTATAAATAGTAAACGCTCCAACTGCAAGGAAAATAATATCTTGACCAAAAATATAATTTATTCTAGTTTAGTACCTTTTGCATTGATAATTTATTTTAATTTCAAAATGTATAAATTAATAAAATATATGTATATGTATATATATATGAATAAACTGTGAGATTTTATTTTTTACTTAAAATTTTACTTTAAAAGAAAGCATAAAAAGTGTTAAATAATATAAAAATAATCTTCTAACAATTACTATAAAATATCTACTTAATACCAAATAAATATGATGAATGTATATGTTATATATAATTTATGATTGATAATTATATGTAATTAATGAGATAACATAAACTGCAAAACGTGTTCTCTTACAGTTTCAATATCGATAAAGATTGAAAAATAAGAATATTGTTATTTTTAATGCAATTTTAGAAATATATATTCTAACTTGCTTTTTATTTAAATGATATATTGATTATGGAGTAGATTATTTTAATATATAATAATAATAATATTAATAACAATATGATATTTTCCTTTTAACACTTATTGCTTAAATAAATAATACATAAAATATTTTTCTGAAAAATTATCAATGAAAATATTAAGGAATTGAAAAATGTCGCAACAATGCAAAAGTTATTATCTATCAAAAATGACACTTTGACCTTTTATATCAGTATAGTAGAATTGATTGCTATACTGTCGAGAAGAGATCCATTAATACGTCGTACTCTTTCATTCGTTTAATTATTATTCCTGATTACAGAAACACAGATATTGCACGAAGAAAGTTAACGAAATGTTGTGAATAAACGTGGAAGCTTTATATTGCCTCGTTAATTTTATTTTTTTAAAAGAGAAACCAGTGTGTGACGCAAAATGTGACTTATTTATATATAATTGTCTGTTTTATTACTATCAAGAAATCGCAGAAAACTATTTCTTCTTGCGATATCTTGCTTGCTGTTAACGATTATTATCCAAATCGTAAAATATATATTGCGTTAATGCTATTTATAAGAAAAGGTTTATATATTTTTACTGATATTCTATATTATACACAAATGATTCTAGGATTTGCGTCAATTCAATTGCTTACAAATATGTTACGTGTACGATAAATCGAATATATTGCTCGCTTTAACGTAATTTTTATATATAGGGATATGCATTATTTAATATAGATGCATTTAAAATAGAACATGTAAAATGTAAAATACTTATTTTGTATTTTGCATTTAAAATACGTACATGTTTTCAAGAACTATTTTACATTTACATTCTTTATTATCCATTTTTTATTTCAAATGCATTTTTTTTCTTGCAAATTAAAAATTAATTGAGATAGTAATGTAATATGTGTGCATAACAATCACAATGTTATTAAAGAAATCTTTAAATAAATGTCTGTAAACAATAATAAATTTTTTTTAATTCCACATGCAAATATATATTTATGTAATTTTTTATTTTTTATTTATTTATTAAAATTTATTATTATTATTTTATTTATTAAAAATATATATAGTTTATAAAATTTATAAAAGTTTGAAGAGTTTGTAAAAAAAAGTTTATAAAGAAAGCTCATATATATAAATTTATAAAGTTTATAAAATTTAATAAAGAAACAAGAATTTAATATGAGTAATAATTATAGGAAGTAAATAATAAAACAATTTTTAATAAATTATATGCCTATATAAATGTAAATATATTTGAAAAAACCACTTGTATTTTAAAAAACTTAAAAATGTTTTAAAAGTGCCTATTTTCCATTTTTTATTTTGAATTGGCGTTGAAACAGAATGTTGCATTTTGCATTTTTATTTACTTTTATTTAATGGTTTTTGACCATTTTACATTTTCTATTTTAAATGAGTTTGGATATCTTTTTTGCATATTCCTGTATATATATGTAACATGCAAATGTCTTAATAGAATATTGCCAACTCATTGTTAATAAATATTTTATGTACTAATTATGATAAGTACTTTTTTCGATTTTGTGAATATTGCATATCGCATCTGTTGAATATTAAATTACTTTATGAAACAATTTGTTTTGCTCGATTATTATATTTAGAACATAATTTGCAAAACATACTTTAAAACAATTTAGCAATTATGATTTTTAATAATTTTTTATAATAATTTATCTTGATATGTTTTAAATTACAATATTACAATAACTTTTGAAAAGTTTGAAATATACGCCATATCGCATAAAATAAATATAGACACGTCAGTTATGATGCACTGTTGTCTGTAAGTATTATCTTGCTTATACATCACTAGGTGCGAATACGAGTTATACATTCTGCGTTTTTGTATAATAATTAAAATCAGTTTTTATTTAACGCAGAATAAAAGATTTTTTTCATTATCATATCGAACCACTTAAAATACTTTACGAAACATACTTTTTTGCTATTAAAGCATGGTTAATCGATAAATGCTGTAGAATTGGTTTTATAATATATATACGATAAATAGTATATATATATAACAATAGCATATGTGTCATATATCAATTATGAATTAATTAAAATCATTTTTTATCTTTTACAAAATAGTTATATTATAAGAGATATATAGCCAAGATGTTAAATAATATATTCTGATTTTAATAATTGTACATTAATAATAATAATCATCTTAATGCAAATATAGTGTATACTAATTATATATTATATTTATGTCTTATTTTTTATACACCGTAATAATTAAGTAATATAATATATAACAATAATTCAGATCAGTATAGTAATAAAAATAATTAGCAAGTAGTTGGCTGCAATCTCCATCTATTATGTAACTACATATTCTAGTTGTTTACTATGCAAGAATTTATTAGTGAATTAATACCGCAATGCAAATTTGCGTGTTGAAATAAATTCATTGATACAAAAGATAAATAGCAATAACATGGGATCGAGAAGCCATTGTATGCAATCGTTACTTTTTGTTAGCATCGGTTGTCCTTAATAATACATATTTGCTAATTGCGTTTCGTCAATCAAACTCGTGTTACTTGTGTTATGACATATAAAAGTAAAACAGGTTTATGTATGGAAGGTTTAATTATGATTCATTTTTTTATAATTATTTATTCTTCTGCAAAGTTTTATATACAATTTTAAGAATAAATTCTGAAATAAATGATTTAAAAAACCAATTTATCGATTTATGACGCATTAGATGAACATGTGAGTGGGCCATTTATATCTTAAATGAAGATTAGACACGATTTCTACCGTACAAAGTTTAAAAATATAACTTCCAATAAAAACTTGAAATTTAAAAAAAAGTCATTAAATTACATTTTTTATATATTCGGCAACAATAGCTAATAATAAAACTTGTTTATTATATATGTAATGTTTTTATAGATATGCACATGACGTGTTTTCGAGACAATGATAAAAAATGTTGAAAACGCGAGTCACAAAGAAAATATATACATATGTATATGTTTCTATAAATAAAATATTATACACATATTATGTTAATAATCAATTAATATTAATGATAAATTAATTACCTATGTTAATTTATGGTGAATGTTATTTAATATTAATTTGTTAAATTAGTAAAATGTTAATGAATTAGCCGTGACCGTGATTTTTTTATGATACTCTCTTTATGATACTCATTATTTTTTGTAAATTTCCCTCCCTCCCAACATATATTAAAACATATATTTCACATTGCATAAAACATGATGTAAAAATATGATGTAAATGATAATCTATGGTAATTCATGATATTATTATTAAATGTTTTTATGCAAATCTATGTATTTAAGTATTTTACGTATTTACATAAAATAAATAGGCTTTATATCTTACATGTCTTTCAAAAAATTTGAAACTTTGAACTCTTCTCAAAACGCGCTGCAAAATTTTGCGTCGCAAAATTTACTTTCTGTGCAGCTTTCATACTTTATCGA